TCCACCACCACTACCACCATCACGTGAAGATGAGGCGCGCTTCGAAGAAGGTGAAATGTATCGTTTCTGTACATCCTTCCGTTTGAGTTGACACGGTATAAGGCGTTGAGGGTTCAGAGTCCGTTGGCGACGTGATGGTTCCGTCTACCTTGTACGAGCAGAAAACTGACGTTTGTGTTTGATCCAACCCTCAGATATGTTCGTTGGCTAACATATTGTACACCTTTGAATATGTTATGGAAGAGTCGGCAGACGATAGGGACTACGAGGTTTGTCTCCGTTTTATCCATAGATCTGCTCGTTGGCTGACCTATTGTAGATGTCTGAGGATGGTATGACAGAGTCGACCGACGGCCCGGCTGCAACTTCGGCCCAACAAATGATCGATACACTCGAAGCCCAAGTCGCCTCCTACAAACTAGCCCTCGACATCCAGGAGGCCGTAACTAGAGAGGTCTCTTTCCACAACCATCGCATGGAAACCACCGTTAGGGACCTCAAGAGTCAGCTGCAGCAAGAACGCGTCAGGAGCTCCATTGTGCAAAGCCAGATGCAGCATCTAGAGGGCAAGATCGTGAGCCTAAGGGAGCTCATTCAGGAGCTAAAGGAAGAGCGTACGGAGGGCAAGCGAACGTCAGGCGGTGTTGGTCTCGCCTGTTCGTCAGATAGATCGACAGCCTCTTGAAGCAAGGAACTGTGGCGTCTTCCATGCTCAATACGTAGCAAAAAGATTACAAAACCTACCATTCCCACAAACTCTCCTCCATCATTGAACCCATTTTCCCCCTTCCACCATAGTTGTAGATGTCGACGTTCCTGTCCGCGCGCAACCGCTCCTCTCTCATTGGACCACACATGCCCGGCACATCTCGCTTACCACACCCTATCAGAGCGACTACCCGCGCACAGACCAATGCACAATCTTTCATGCTCCCGAGTCCGGCTTATCACCCAACCACCAAAAAGATTGCGCCACCACAACCCACATCCCTCACACACTGAACGTGAGCAAAAGAAATGACCACGCCAGGGGTCGAACCTGGAATCTCCTGATACCAACGAGAACAACATGATATCAATCTCATCGTAGTCAGACGCCTTGCCATTGGGCCACGAGGCCAGTGTTGATTTTCAGTTGAACTGGGTCGTCGGGTGGATTCGGTGGGTTGACCGCTTATAAAAAGCGCATCAAACTTGGCGGGTTAGGAAGGGAAGGAGCGACCGAGTGGAAGCGAGAAATCAAAGCATAGTTAGGTGTAAGGTGATACTAGACTCAATAGAGGGACTGGCGTGAGTTTGAAGCTACGATAGTGGTACTGGATATAGATTATAACAGACAAGTAGAGTATAGTTATTATACGATAGCATAGCTAGTTGTTCGCCGACGCCTAAGGTAGTAGGACCACTTGATATCGTTTATATTACCTCTATATCTTACGAATGCTACCATGAACAACTCGAGGAAAACTTGATGCACTAGAGGAACACTATGCCAGGCGCCTAGAGCGTTGAGAATCAACACATTCGAGACGCTCTAAGATAGGCTAAAATCCGTACAAGTGATTCAGATTGTCTGTATCAAGTTTTGGCCGGAGTGACCGAACAAGGTGACGTATTAATGAGCAGATCGAGAGCTTCCAAACACGACCAAGATCGCTTTAAAATAGCGAGGATCGACGGAGCTATCCGCACTTCAAAGCTCCTGCGTGCTTGCTCCCCTTGGCCTCATTGCAGCACTCGGACACTTGGCTTGATGACCACCTAAAACATAGTGAAAATTACGTTTGAAGCTCCTACCTTAGGGCCTGGACTGGACTGAACTTTATATCAGAGATGCGATCGGATTAGGAAGCCGCGACTAGGAGAATGCTATTGCCCCTTTCGGAAGTCTCATGGTGGTGTGAAGCTGCCCGGACGTGCTCGCACCCAGTGGGCTACAAGTCAGACTATCCCAGGAATTTTGTCAAGGATATGGCAAGATAGTTAGGTAGGATACGATGTATCGATCTCTGATAATGAACCTTCGACCCCTGGTCAGTTATTAGGAGCCTTGTTCAAAGATGCCGCAGATTTGCCTATAGTGCAAGCCCGCGACCACAGTAGGTATCCATGTCCCGTGGGAAGATCTATACGGCCGTCTGCAGGTGGATATGGATCAACTTACTCCTCAAGTTTGTTTGCGTTACTTTAGCGGCTTACTAACATTCTTCGGAGGTAGTCACTCGTGTCAGCATACCACTTCTTCCGCGTTCGTTACATTTGGGAGGCTCGTTACAAAGGCAGAACACCCTCAAGAGTCCTCTTCTGTTTACTTCCGCTCACAATACTAGCTCAGTTCATCCCAGCGCATTCTAACGACTTAACAACCACGCCCAGCAATCGTTCGATGTCGAAGATGGTGGTGGGTGCCTCGCATGTGAAGACTATGAAAAACCCATCAAGATAAGAAATTGCTGCTTGAACAATTGCCATGGTCAAGAGTCTTTTCAATACCATCTGCATTCGAGTATCACTTTCCACACACTTGTCTCCGACCATTGCCAGACACCTTCTGAGTCACCGAGGCTCTTTCTTCTCTCCATCTGACTCGAGTCCATGATGCGACAAGTAGGAACAGCTATAGCTATCAACTGCTTCGGGTCGGCAAAACATCCACGGTTGTCAAAATGAGTACTACAGTCCCTTTCCTGCTCCCGAGTCAGTTATCAGCCTTTCCTCGGCACCCGCGGAACGACTCAAGCACGACCTCGAATACAGTCTGGCACTCATTGCAGTCCTACGATTGACCAGCATTACATTCTGCCCATGTGTGCCGCTCCTTGAAGGGAGCTTTACCAGCTATGTTGGCAACGCCGAGATCATATCTGGCTTCGATTGTATGAGCTGAGGCAGACATTCAAGTGCGTTGTTCACGGGAGCTAACATCGACATTCTCGGAAATTTTGGAAGAACGGAAACTCCAGGCTCGCTGTTACTAATCTGAGTGTACCAGTTTTGTCTCGATCGCACAAACTGCTCGAGCGTACTCTTTCTCCGCTCGACTGACGCCTCCCTTAAAGAAGAGTATTGTGCGCGCCGAAAATTAGAGCCAGAGCCTTCGATTCAGCTGCCTGTTAATCTGAACGGCATGAACAAGGACGGAGATACTCCCGCAAGCATACAACGACTTCCTTGCTATGTTGTTGACATGTCCTTCGAGCCTGAGAACACGTAGGCGGATCAACGTTAGTTCGAATAGTCCAGTTCGCCGCCTCTCGGCAAGGCAGCGCCGATTTCAACCACGGAACTACCAACAAGCGATTCCATATCACGGCAACGCAGCTTCTGGCCTCGATGTGATGCCTCCGCATCCTAATCGTCTCTCGATTCTTATTGGGATTTCCTAGTTACTCGTGTAATTGTCGTCAACAGTTCCTGGAAGAAGTGACAAATGTTCGAACCATGACCTTCCAAGCACCAGTCACTACGTTGCCCCGTGTGACGATGGGCCGGTCACTTGCACGGCCTTCTACGTATCACTTCCTTCTTCATCAAAGAAGCCAATTTTCCAGTGACGGACCTGGTCTTCACTCCAGGCTAAGCACCGGGTAGTCACAATGGCGGCGCTGCATCAGTTTACCATCGCTCCCGGCAGCTTATCAGTGTTACCGATACTCAGGAGGTTCACCTACCAAAGTTTCGGTTCCACGGCAAAAAGTTACAGAGTCATTGCAGCTCGCAACCTCTTATGGTACACCAACAACATTCATCCTGAAAGCCAGTGGCGGGACTATCGCCTCATGACCCCTCAAAACAGGCGGCCCGTTCGTCTCCACGCCGCAGCATCCTTTGCGACTTTCATCAGCACCGGCATCGCCCTATTCACGCTCTGTCCTTCGTCCGTTCACGCGATCGCCTTTTTCAGTACCGCCACTCGCGCTGTCCTCAATCACAACGCGCGACATCGCTTGATGCATTTCGACCGAAACTCTGTCATCTACGCTGCGCGTGGTCCGTGGTACGCTGCCGGATCAAAGCGAGCCTGGTTCATCCGTCGTGCTGCACTCAGCACCGCCTACAGCACCCTCTGGGGCGTAGGAATTTATGGCCTCATGGGGGTCGCGTCGCGGTATGCCGTGGGTGTCAGAGTCTCGCGCCTTCTTGTGGACTTTGTCAGTGTGGGGCTTTTGTGTCGCATATATGCCCGACTTGCTGAGAAGGGGTTGGAGGGGCGGCTACCGCCTTTGAGACGGCTGTTTTCTGTTAGAGGTGGATGGAAAGAATGACTTTTGTGGAGTGGGTAGTGGGTAGTGGTCTGCTGGTTTGGCGGGGGTTGGTGAAGGAGTGTCAGCCTGTTGATTTTGATGACATGCACGATGAGGAAGGAGTGTGATCATTAGGATGGGGTAGAGTTGGCAGCGGATTGAGCAAAGTGTGCTGCAGCGTATCAGCATTCATGAAAGCTATAGATGATTAACCCTGTGCGCGCTTTTCGGTCAGTCGCAAGTAAAACATCCATGATGTCTTATCTGTTACATATCCATACAGCATTTGTATCTAAGCTGTGACTCTGAAGTTGATACTCCTCTTAACCTAGTGCTGACCTTTAGCACGTGACATCTGTATAACGCCAATGTTCGGCCGCAACTCCAGGTATATATCAAGGTTATCCTCACTTTCTGCACGCACAAACCCATTGTCCGTCGCGCGAGAACGACGAGTAGCCTGCGGGTAGAGAGAACTGGTAGGTCTTGACTCAAGATGATCGCATTTGTCGCTCGATGCCGCCGTGCCTCCGCGCTTCTTGCGACGTCTGAGAAGGCGATTGTTACCTACCCAATCCATGACAGTGGGTTTCTCTTAAGACGTTCTTGCTCTAAACGTGCAGGTAGTCCGTCTATTCTTGATCTAAACTATAGCCAATGTGCAAGGTCCGGCCGTCATCTCAATGAAAGGGACGAGGCCCGTCCCAAGAGTAGCACATCCATTCCTTGCCAACTTCTACTCCGCTTATACTTCCCCTTTGAGCATTCAATTGGCCCAGTGAGATGAGGTAGCGTTGCTAAGAATTTCGCATTTATACTGACCGCGATTGTCCATTGCCACGAGCTTGGCGGCATGAGGAATGAGGAAAAACGCGCATCGCGCGTCTTATATGTCCCCTAGGGGCTGGCCAAGTCTTTCCAACGGATACAGGTCTCTCGTTGCCTAGGTTGGGAGCTACTTGACGATCGTCCGTTTGTTTCAGGTACTTGATTGAGAAGCGCGATGATGTTACCGTGTGCGGTCCTTGCTCTGTTGGTTGCGGCGGTTGTGGAAGGGCAGAGTCCTGGTGAGCGCACCCCTTGGTTTCTAGGAGATGGTGTACCAACTTGAGATGGAGCGCGTCAAAGCTAACAAGATACAGGATCTTGTAGGCGGGTGGTGACGGTTACCCCGACGGTCACGCTGTGTCCGAGCAATCTACAGCAATGCACGACAGTGACATCGATGACCCGGCCTTTGAGTCTGACATTGAGCGCTACTAAGCCTCCAGGCCTTGTGTCAAGCGTGACATCTGCTCCAGCGTGGTGGTATGGAGATGGTTGGGGCTCTTGGGGATCCGACTGGAACCACAACTGGGGAACAAGCGTCGACGCGAGCGCAGAGTCAAGCAAGACTGCCGCGGCAATAGCTTCTGTTTGCTCCCCTCACACGACAAGCTCTTTAGTGGCTCTTGTACCTTCTTCAACGACTTGCGGATCACCGGGCACGCCCACCGCGAACCTTATCGGCGTGGACTGTGGCGATAATGGAGCTGCGCCTACAGCGTTCGGATATGTGGCGGCTTGCAATACCTACTTTGTATACGACAACAACGCTGACGGTACTCCTGACGCGCAACCGAACCTTGCTCGCCTGGCTGCCGGGGACAGGCAAGAGAAAGCTGTAGAAGGTCCCTCTACTAACTCACTCGCTCGGAGATCGGTCGGGACTATCTACGGTGTATCCAGCCTCGACGACTGCCTGCAGCAGTGTATCGCAGACAACACTCCTCCTACTGTCATTGGAGTCAACTTCTTACCTGCAGCTGCAAATGCTTCCTCGATCTGCCAGTGTGGCTTCACCTTTGTCAATACGACTTCTGAGCCTGGCTGGCAG